GCCCACCGCGGCCGTTATCCCCTACGTGGAAATGTATGGCGATTCCACGACTTTTCCCGCGACTCCGGGAGCGCGCGAGGGGAAAATCCACCGTCCTCCCCCGCCGGTATTACACAATTTCCACGCGCACCTGCGATTTCTGACAGCCGATATAGCGAACGACTTTCGATATATATCGTTATAAAATTTATCCGGGAATGGATGTCCTCGTAGACGGCGTGCTCGTCCAAAGGTAAAAAAGTATCAGGTTTTCGGAGTTCTGATACGTAAGTGAGCGATACATACATACGAGCTCGTGACTGCGCCGATCGCGATGCGACTATCTCGCGTGCTGCAACGCGCACTTCCTCGGAGCCTCGCGGACTGTCGACGACCTTCGGTCCGTCACTTTGCCGGCCGGCCGGTCGACCGGTTGCGTAATTAAACCAGCGGCGCGGAGCTTAATAAATGAGAGTGATGAGTGGCATGCGAGCGACGACGACGACGACGACCCAACACTCGAAATAGAAATCAGCCGCGAGAAGAGCGAGAGCTACGACCTCGATGTATAACTCATCTCCGAACGCGCGGCGAATCGCTGACGCATGGCCGAGAGCAAATGCACCGAGATCATCGCTCGGACGTGTATATACGTAACGACGACGACGACAATGATCGCCCGCGAGATTGATCGAGGAAACTTCCTAGAGTTGGGGGGAGCGATCGTGCCTCTCGTTATAACGATCCCGTCATAATCGGGGCGGCAAGGAAAAACGTTCGTGGAAACGCGCGAGAGATAGATGGCGAGATGCGTGTCGATTCGTCGAACTTAGATTATCTGAGATGACCGAGTATCGTTCACTACTTATTGTTAGTTTGATCCTCGATGGGCTTGAAAAGAATGTAACTCTCGCTGGTCTCGCTAGACGATCTATCCGACAATTTATCTTTCTTTTTATCGCGAGAGCGATAAACGGAGCGCGAAAGTGCTAAACCCGATATGTATTGGGCGGAGGTGGGATGATCTCCCTTGGTGCTATTTCGATCCTCGGGGTCGTTATCGCGGATTACCGGCGCGCGAGCCGAGCACCCGAGGAATAATTCCAGCGCGAACTCTCCACGGTCTCTCGGATCGACCGCATAAATCATTTTGTGGGTCACCGGAGCGACCACGTGGTGGCCCCGTTCCACCGGCTCTCGGCTCGGCTCGGCTCGCGGCCTCTCCTGATCGAACGCCTCGCTCCTTCTCTCGGTCCACGAACTCCCGGCGGCATGTAATGCGCATCGGTCACTCGCTGGCCGTTGCATTGGCCTAAAAATAATCGCCGGGGTGGCGTGGCGCGGCGTTTGCCGTCTTGGAAAATGAATCGATATTATCCAAGTGTATGTCGTCGACCGAGCGCAGCTTCGATAAAGACAGATATCGGTAATGGGACAGAACTTTTTTTAATCATTTTTTTTTTTAATAATTGTGTAATTAGATATTACCAAATTATAATTATTAAGATTACATCTGGCACTTGATAATTCACATACAGTAAAATGTTGTAATGTCGTGGAACGTTATATTCGTTAATCGTTAGATTTCGGGCTTTCTCGCTACTCGTTATGAAAAAAAGTCGATGCCATCTTCGATGCTGATTAGTGATCATCAATGGCTTTCTTGGCGGTCATCCCTGATGCAGTGTTTCACCGCTATAAATCCCAATCTGTCTGTCTGCTGCGCATTTGTCGGTTAGTGATGCGCTTCCGAGCGAGCGGGTCGGCCGAATGGATCGGAGAGAAACCGAGAAAGAGCGTAGAAGGACAGAGAGAGATATATAGAGTGATGGAATGACGTCAGGCATGCAATTACCGATGCACTTGACGCGTCCTCAACGGCGAATCGTCCGAACGATCGCTCGTTGCTCCGGCCACCTCCTATAAAGCCCATTTTAGACGATTTAAAATCTGCGATGGAATCAAAAAACTTGAAGTCCCAAAATCATTTGAGTTCTTAAATTCGTCTTTCATAAAGAGATTAAAATTGCGGGTTATAGAGCTGCGCAAACCATTTAATAAACTCGTTAATATTTATCTTAAAAAAAAAAGAGAGAAAAATTCAGGAGAGAAAATTTGCGCGACGGTGGAATTAGCGCGAGGTTTCTCTCTGCAGATTGTATCTACAGTTCGGTCCATGATATCACCGGATAAGAAATTCTGTCCTGAGTTCTGTCAGCGAATTATGGATCGTCCAGACGGAGCCTAATACCGCCTCTTTCCTTCGTCGTCTCGCGAACATTCGTCAACATCGCGTCCCTCGGCGGTCGTGTCTGGAGTCGATTAAAATGTCGTTTATCTTCCCGGACGTTCCACCCTAACTCCCACGGTGTGGAGAAAACGCGAGCCCGGAGGTGCGAGGTCCGGAGGTCTGGGGTCTCGTCATCGTCGGGCAATAATGGGCCGGGTCGCCTGAATGTAGAAAGTGAAAAATGCCCGGCGAATGGTGGTCAGACAAGGTCGTCGGGGAGAGACGACCTATTCGATCGACGCTAGACGATTACTACTGGTGAATGAGGATTGCACGCCGTATACAATAATATAGGCGCGAAGGCGTTGCTTCGCGCTCGATAGAGCGACGATTTTAGATGGACGGCGATTAATCTTCCCGCCAACGTCTATATAAAGCGATAGAGCGCGATTAGCAATTTATACGATTGATGATGCGGAGTATTAGTAAGTGCTGCATTACTGATCAGCTTACAACCAATATTAGAAGACATTATTTCCGATGTAATTAATTTTCCACCTTCTCGTTCCCGATATCCGTGCCACAAGGGATAATTTCAGAATTGCTTGACGTCTGAAAGGATTCTTACTAATAAACGAGAGTTCTCTACGGGAAGGAGTTTTTTTTTTTTTTTTTTGCGAAACGTAAACCTCCATCGATCACTTCGCCGCCGTTAAAGGGAATAAGCGCTGGGCGCGCAAGAATGGATTGGTTTTTTGTGCTACGGAGAAGGACCTTTCTCTCCCTCCAGGGAGAATGAATCTACGCCGTGAAGGGTAAAGAGGGAGGAGACGACCGCCGAGACGGCTGATAAACACTTAAGGGGGGGCTCCGCACGGAGGAAAACGTATATCGCGAGGATCAATACTCCGTATAATTCCGAGGGACTTTTTCATGCCAAAATTGACGATACAATGGACGTGAAATTAGCGTTAGTAGCCTCGTATAGCCGATGGGAGAAGCAAACTCTCGCGTCTCCCATTCATCCCCGACTACTCCGATTCGTATTTCCTCAGACTTTGTTATATAGACTCGTTTATCCGGGCAATCTCGCGCCCGGTGCCGACGAAATGAGCCCCCAATACAAACGTCGGTGTAACAGCGCGCGTATTCTCAGTCGCGTGAAACCACCGAGCCCTCTTTTATGTAGAGGACCACTTTCACAGCCGAACCCTCGCTCTCTGTGTGGGTTTTTTGCCCCCCTCGGGGCATTTGTTTCCATCGACTCTCACTTTCGAGGGTTTCTGCGGACACGAATCCCTCCAGACATTTAAAGCCATAAATGTCACGCGGAACTTGAAGAATTTGGCAGACTTCTAAATCTATAATTTTGCCTTCTATATTTTTGCGTTTATGAATTATGAATGCTACGAGTATTCGGGCGACTCGGTTCTCAGTTCATGCTATCTCGGATTCTTGGGTTCAACAAATTCTTCTATATACTAACCGTCAAGCGTGCAATCTTCATTCCACTAGACACTCCTTATATCCGAGAGTCGCCGGCCGCTACTTTTAAACTCACAAATTCTTAGTTTCCCTCAATTAAATAAGAGAATAAATATACAATTTATCGATTAAGTGGTGTATCGCTACGCTTGGTAATACCGGAGATATTATCGGCACGTAAAGTGCAATCTCTTCGCGGCGAGAGAAGGAATTCACATTCACGCGATGCCGAAGGAGAGGAGTCCCCTTCGAGACAGAATTCTCGGATAATGAGAGTCTACTTCGAGGCGGACAAAATTCAACACGTTACGGCTGAAATAAGTGCTTTCGCACCTGCAACCCATTGGCCACCTCGCACACTCGTCTCGCGATCGCGTAATTCGGCTCGACCTTCGAGAGCAGAACCGCTCCCGTCTCTTTCTCTCACGTTGAACTTTCTTCTCGAGGAAAAAGCGTCGATCTCCGAACAATCGCGGACATCCGCGATTCACATCTCGGGTTTGCCCGTATAACTGTAAATCGTCGACGTGTGCGTTCGTTATCGAAAGGCGCCGCGCCGTCGTCCTCGCGCGAGAGGAATGCCGAAGGACGCGGAAGATGCGGAAAAGGCGCCTGTGGCTTGCTGATCCTCGCCCTTTCACCGCTTTTAGAAAGGATACCTGCCGCGAAGCACCGATCGCATAATAAATGCGCTTCTCACGCAACATCGGGAATTGGTTGCAATTTGCATCGGAGGCGTTTCTTTCTCTTTATCGCGCGCGATCGCTCGTTTTCTGAAAAAGATTTCGAAACGGAAGAACGACACGCGCGTGTACGTAGCGTCGAATATGAAACGAATATATATGTATGTATATATACATACATATATATATATATATATATATATATATATATATAATATATCAATATTAATAAAATTAAAATTAATTTTATTAATATTAATATTAATATTAATATAATAGGGCGGCAGTGTGGTCTAGTGGTAGAGCGCCAGACTCGTAATCTGAGGAACCAGGTTCGAGTCCACTAGTGCCATGAAGCATAGAATGTTTTTCCGATAGCTGCGCCCCTCCGTGCAAGATAGGCTCTTGTGCGGAGAAAACTGGGCTCCGTCTTTCGGAAAGAGACGTTAAGCCGTTGGTCCAAAGGGTTAAAGTGAGAGGAGAAGGATAGTGTTGGTAGTAGATTGCGAACCCTGCGGGGATATGCAATAAATGACGAAATTTACAGGGAATTTTAATAAAATTAATATGGAGCGCGAAGTGAAAGTCTGATAAAATAAACTCGATTTGCTTGTGTGTTTCAGGGCTGAGTTTAGACAACAGCAATATGTCGATGTCGTCGGTGGGGCCGCAGAGTCCTCTCGACATGAAGCCCGACACGGCCCTTATCAATTCGGGGAACTTTAGCCCATCGGGTCCCAACAGTCCAGGGTAAATATTCTTGTAACACTTCAATTTATGCTTCGTGAATATTAATACAAAACTAGACTCGATGGCAGATTTGTTTGAGTGACCTAAAGAGAATTTTCTCGGTTTAGCGATATTAAAAAAAAAAAACTAAGAGTTACCGCGATAAGGATATAACCGTTCGTTGCGATTTCCAGAGATTTTAAGAGCGCATACTTCGCGGTCTATAAATTTAGCGCCGGGCCTTTTCGAAATGTGCATGCTACGGTTGTAGCGGTGTAGATCTCATAGACGATCGTTCTCTGCTTTGCATGTAAAGACCCTTCAATGCTGGTTGTCACAGCAACCTGCTGAGTACATCGCCCAGCGGTCAGAGCAAAACGGTCACCCCTTACCCGCCTAATCATCCCCTGTCGGGCAGCAAACATCTGTGCTCGATCTGCGGCGACCGTGCGAGTGGCAAACACTACGGCGTTTACAGGTAAGTTTTTTATAATCGTTTCCGTATTGTCGTTACGCAACGCAACTCGTTAGCACAAACGATACTTCTCGGTCGAACGAAACCTCGATAATCTTCTTGACTTCCACTCACTATTCCTCCTTGCCTTTCATTTTCAAGCGGAGGAGTTTCTGTGAAGGGTTGAGGAACAATTTGCGCTATCCACCGTGAATATCCGTAGAAAATGCCGGTTCAAAGTTATACGTTAGGAAGTATGTATCCGATAGAAGTCTAACGAATACCCCCCGCTCTCCCCCCCATCCTTCTCGTACCCCACTCGCATTTGTCATGCAAATTTGATCCTTGACGGCGCGCGCGGCGATTTTATTCAAGAAATGTACGCGCTCGCGGGTAATCGGCGTTTCGATTGCGGCTGAATCTCTCGAGCGGCGACTTCAATAGGTGACTTCAACAAACTCGTTTGAATATTCCCCTTGTGCATCTCATCGTGCGTCCGTCGTTTCGCGGCGGCTGGCCAACTGCAAAAATAATTACCGCGCTCTTCTCCGCTGCATTTCTCCGAGAAGGAAGCGAGCACGCGAACGATAAAGGTCCCACGATTTATTCGAGAGAAAAAAAAAAGAGGAGAAAGAGACGCGCCTATGAATATGAATTTGCCGTCGTTGTATACTTGCGTTGCGCCGGATGATTTTTCCGTCGCGAGAGAGCGCGGTTCAAGGTCCTTCGGATTCGCTTGATAATCCTGACCCTCGTTAACAGGGAGAACGGTGAATAATCCGTTCACCGACGGCTCACCGAGAATGCAATAATAATAAGCGGGCCGGTTTATTATGCCGTCAAGCCGCGTCACCTATACAGCGGCGCGACACGATAAAGTCGGATAAAGCATCGCCGATAAATGCTTTGTTTTTTCCAATTATCGCTACCCTTCGACCTGCGCTGCAACCTCGCAAAAGTAAGCTATACGATTCCGAATAATAAAATCGAGTGGCTGGACGAGCAGCGGGGAAATTTTTACGGAGGCATTTCTGCCGACGAAACACAGCGCTCGAGCACGACGTCGACGAGGCAGAATCGTCGACCTTTCCTCAAATTATTTAACGCTCGATAAGTCTCGAGGCTGTCTCGTATCTTCACTCGAGGGATTGGTGGCATTAACTTGTTCGGGCGGGAGGATACACGCGCTCGTCAAAGTGTTTCGTGTTACCGTCTGCGAAGTTACGATCACATTTAACGACTATGATTCTATTTGAATATTGAAAATGCACGTGGAATCTAACGTCAAAGTTATATGGATATAGTTTGTTATATTTCGGTTTAATTACGTGCAATCGCTTCGAATTATTTATACTGGCCGTTACGCAACGTGGCTGAGGTTACTATTTCGGAAGTTCTCGGGTACCTTATATCTGCTGTGTAAAAGGATTTCTCGAGTCTCGCGTTACGATACCGATTCTTCGGTAATCCGACACTGAACTTTGACTCGCGCGCGACGATGCATCCTCGAGAGTTATTAACGGATGCTTCCTCGCGCTTTTTTATTTTCTTGCGTGCATACGTGGTAAAAAAAAACCTTGCAAATGCGGCGTCGTGTTTGCATAATTGGCGCGGTGCGTCGAACCGTCGTCGTCGGCCGGCGGAATAATAAAAATGTCGACGAACCAACGCGGACACGTAACCGCCGGGGCGTCGCGCGCGCGAGCCGAGGAAACACGATAGTAGAGGTAAAAGAGCCTCCACACCGCACGTCGGCCGTCGCCGTCGCGAGAACGGGTCCGCGTATCGTCTTTCGTGTTGCAGCTGCAACAGGTCCCGGTCGCGGCGAACCACCGCGTTGCGTGCGCGTCCGCGAAAATGCGCGTCGCTATGAAAAGGAAGAAACATCTGCGATGACTTTTATGCGAATAACACGCGAGCCGCTCGCGCGAATGCATGGAACACCGTCGTGAACAACGCATGTCGGCCGTGTTACGACAGCGGCGGTCCGCGCCCCGTCAACGAGCACATTTGTCGTCTTTCGTAATTACCGAAGAACGTCGCTCGTGACAAAACGAATTATTTAACGCGTAATAGTTACGCGATAGCGTGAAAATTATTTTCTGCAATATTTGCGCGTCATAGACTCTATTGAGGATAAAGCACAGAGATTCCGGGATCTTTTACATTCAAATACATATCTAATTATAATTTGAACGTTTGCCCTAGAAAATAAATAAAAATTAAGGAAACATATAAAGGGCGAATGAAGTCGTTAGGATAATCGACCTTCCATTAAGCGATATAATAATGACTGATCGTTGAACTTTCGGCATCTTGCTCGTCGATATTATACAAATTCACGACGCCGCGCGGGCGTGCCTCCGAATTTCATTACAACGCTAGATCTCGTTAACATTTTCCTTCGCGGTGGCTTTACGAAACGGCTCGGATACGAAAGTTAGATCCTCAAAGTAACTTATCCAATTAAAACTTGTATCGACTTTCTAATTTAGCCCGTGAGCTAACCGCGGCGGAACGATCGAAAGTAACGTCGCGGAGGAGAAGGAGAGGGTCTCGCGGGGACCTTAACACCTATATTTCAAGTTATATATAGACATCTACGCCGAATTTCGATCTCCTAACACACTTGCCCGATAAAAGCGATGTACGATACTTTCCCTCGAAGTCACAATCTCTTTCGCTCGAGGATTTTACACATTCAAGCAAACGTCCTAAGTGGGACTCACGGACGAGCAAGCTCGCGCATCAATTAATCCGGGAACGGCGGGCGACTGGAGTAATTTTTACACCCCTGCAGTATCAAAGAAATGAAGCTCCCATCACTAGTAATTTTAATATGCTTCTCATTTATGCAAAAAAGAATTAGGCGTCCGTTTCCAGGTTAACGAGACACCCACGAGGTCTGTTTCGTATCATTTTAATTTCTGCTCCGAATTTTTTTTCACCTCAGTTCCGTTCATTTCACTCAATTAACTTTTTGACGAACGTCTTATTATGTATCGTTACAGTTTCCAATGCATTTCCAATGCGCCGTGCATATTTTTGTTTAACTCCAGCGACCAGTTTTCGCGGCCGCGCGGAATTCCGCTCCAATTTCCGCGAATCGGCGAG